CTGCAATGTACTGGATTTAGCACCTGTATGTCATTAACACTGACACTACTGTCACATCCTAATATATCTTGCTTTGAGCATACCTGCTCGATCAGGCCTCTCAAACCTCAGATGACTGGAACCTGAACAGTTTAAATAGGAACTAGGGATTTACACCGACCTTCTATCACGCACACAGTTGTTCAAGTTTTAAGGAATATATTCAAGCTATTAAAAAGGAAAAAAAAAAAAAAGACAGAGCTGACAGACGTAGAAAGCAGAAGCAGAGGAGGAGAGAGCGATGCATCTTCCTGCACAAAACCACTTTACTGGCCCCTGCTCCCTGTGAACATGGGCTGAGGGTTTAGACCAAGCCCTTCATCCTGGTGGAAAGGGCATTACTCCCTTCAATCAGAAGTATGGAAACAACCTGTCACCAATCTGCGTGCATACACCTTAGTTTTATTACTTCTAGTAGGAACTTCTTTATCCAGAAATGCTGTTTCTTTGAGAAGCTAAGTCCTGGGGCGAGAGATACCTCCATTACAGAGACACCAAAGAGCTGACAAACATCAAAAACACAGCGAAGATACAACCTTACAGGAAGCGCTTCTTTCCCCCAAGTCTTATCCTCTGTACTTATCTGTAAACCCTTGGCCTGTTGTGTTCTTAAGATAAGGCCATTCTTAACAGAATTCTCCAGACACAACATGCACGATGGATCCCTCCTCCAACACTTCACTGCAACTGCACCCTTGTAAAGGATATATTGAAAAGCATCAGTACTATCTTTGAAATAGAGACACAATGGCGTTCACAGCACTCTATTCCAAAGGAAGTCTAACAACATCCGATTATTTTTACACAGATGATGAGAAAAATTGACAGCTGTTTACTACACAATTTTTCAATGTATTTAACATCAGAAATCACAGTTCTTAACTGGATTTGCAACATGAAATAAAAGTAATTTTTCCCTCATGAAAAATGAGCTATGATGGAAATTTTCCGCGGAAGGAACTACTACTACCTAATCCCTTCCTCCTGGCCAACTGGAAAGCAGAAATCTTCATGGCACTTTGAAAGACAAGAGAAGGATGAGAATGACAGTGACAATGTATTGCAGCAAAGGGAAGTCAGGAAATTGATTTCTTTTAAGATCATGAAACATTAAGAACCAAGAAGTGACGTGGAATAGTTGGGTACACCAGACTGCATATAATCTTGCTTTGTCATGCTCAAAGCCATATATTTTTCATAACTGCACAAAGTATTTGATAAGTTAATCAAAACCTGTTTACAGCATTATCTTGGCATGTGTATTGAAAAGCCAAATATTGAGATTTGTCAACATGACTTTAATTCTTACTATGCCCTTCTTTTGACAATATACTACCAGGAATCTTGATAGAACCAAACAAGAAACTAAATATTGCAATAAATGAAACAGTAAAAACTGTTTCTCATTATAAGGATATAAAACCAACATAGCAGACAGTAAAGGTATTTGTCATTAGACTATGTCATGAGATGTGATTATGGATGGGGAAATCACCCCAAAACAGCTTCTGCAAAATTCTGGTTACATGCTATGTTTAATAGCAAGCCTCTAATTGTTTACTTTCTTTCTTTTAGGGTTTGCGGGTGATAAAGGAAAAGATAATTAATTTAAATTAATAACCAAGCAAAGCATTCTAGGACACTTACTCATTTGGGCACAAGCAGAGGCGGTATTTAATACAACCAAAAGTTAAGTGCTGAAACAAAGGGTATATTTGCAGGACAGAGGGCTGTCCCAGGAAGCAGCATTTTAGAAAGAACTTGGCACATAAAGTTTTAAATAAACCGTTCAATGTAAGTAAAGTGATTTTTGGAGGCCCAGACAGTTAAGTTTGTGATATAACCTTTTCTTGCTCTTTGCTAAAATGCATTAGAGATAACAAAGATAAACTGTAGAAGCTTAAAGAAGACAACATAAGAAAAACCCCCCAAAATTGGAAAACATTTCCAATAAACATCCAAGAAACTGAAGTTTTCATTCATGGCTGTTTGAAAGGATGACTTCAAAAGTCCATCAATTTTTTAAAATACCTTAAGTGTATGTATGTAAAGAGTTCTTCAATGAAACAGACCAAAGTATAACAGGATTCAGTGGATGAAAACTTAAAACCACGAGAGCTTCTAATAAAATCAGAAGCTTGCTGGGAATTTTAATGGAATCTCAACTGCTGGACAAAAATCTAGACTACATGACAATTCTGTGCATTTTTGGCCTTCTGCTATAATTAGAAAAATAAGGAATACCTTTCAATCCAAACCTCACTGAAGAAAAAAAAACAAAAACAGACCTTAATTTCAAGATATCGGCAGCCTTCCAACACAGACACATTATTCAACGTTAACCCAGCTCAAGACATACTTAAGATTTGATAATGAGCCCTCAACCAATGCTTTTTGCCGCCTTCAAAGCTGAAGGACTATTTCACATCAGTACCTCAAAAAAGCACAAAAGGCTCACAGTCCAAGCCTACAATGTCAGCAAAGCCAGTGCTCTCAACTGTTTCCCCTGTTAAACAAAATGTGGCCATGGCTTTGTCGGTATGGTTTGCACTTCTCTTGCTGTACTCCAGCTACGAGGCATAAAATTACCAAAAGAACTGCTATGGACACCTGGCTGCTCTGACTGAAGTCTTTCTGAAAAGGTCTCAACCAGCTGCAGCGGACTTTTCCACCTAACTCTTCTCAGATCTGTTAAGGCCTGCAAACCATCTACTAGGCTTTTTTTCTTCTCAGCCACAAAACCGTTACAAGAAAACATTCCCCAACATGCATCTGTAGAGGGAAGCCACATCAGCACCATTCAAAAATCAACACGTTTGACAGAAAGCACACAGCTGACGATGCACAGGTTGAGCATCACTACCCTGATGTGCACGGTCCCAAGTAACAGAGATGTGATAGACAAAGATGACGTCAGTTCTGTTATAAAAAGGCAATCTTTCACCACAGGGTAAAAAAAAAAAAAAAAAAAAAAAAAAAAAAAAAAAAAAAAAAAAA